TAATATAATAATATATAGATAATAAGAAGAATACAATGATATAAATAATATAAACAGAGAAATAAATATAAAAATAAGATAGATAAATAACATATAAATAAAAGAATATAAATAATAAAAATAATTAAATATGAATAATCAAATCATTTATTTCATTAATATTTCATACAAAATGAATACAATTGATAATAAAATATAAACATAAATATTTACATATTCTGTATTTATCATATTTTTTATTTTTTTATTTTTATTTTAGGAGCAAAATATAATAAATGGAATATTCTATTTATGCAAATTATTTTGCATCTTTTTTCTTTTTTGTAAATTATTTAGATGCATTTTTTCTTTGCTAATTTTCGTACCCATCTCAAATTATTAATGATTAAAATTTAACACATAATTATAACGATGAAAAAAAACAAACGTAATAAATGATAACAGTCAAACAATGAATGATTAAAATAAATATAGAAAAACATATGATAAAAATTTGTTTTAATAATAAAGTAGATAAATAAAAAAGAATAAATCAGAAAATGAAGAAATAATATAGAATAAGAGAAAAGAAAGATAATAAAATATAGTATATAATAACAAATAAATCAAGAATAGAATAATAACTCAAAACAAGTATAATAAAATATGAAAGTAAGAAAGTAACAGTTAATAGTTATTATATCATTTTAATTGATAATTATTGAAAATAATAAATGATAATGATAATATTAAAAATATAGCAATTATTATATATTGTTAATAAATAGAAATAAAAACAAAATGTTCAATTAGAAGAATAAAAGGGTGATGATAACACCAAGAATAATAAACAGGCATGATGCTCCATCGATGTTTTTATTACTATTTGAATCTTCATCTTCACTATTATTTGTTTTATCATCGTTTTTATTTTCAGATTTAGACTCTGGTTTATTTGTTGGAGTATTTGGAGTTTTATTGTCTGTTGTATTTTTTCCTTCTTCTTGCCCATTTGGAGTTTTAGGTTTGTTGTTTTCATCACTTTCATTTGTTCCGTTATCATCTTTTTCTTTTGTTGTATCATGTTGTCCATCATTTGTTCCACTTGTTTCTTGTTCTTTTTCTTTTCCTTGTTTATTTGTCTGCTCAGTTTCTTGTTTTCCATTCGTTGATGGTGTTTTTGCTCCTTTTTGTTTGGATTGACCCTGTGGATTTTGTTCATTTGTTATTCCTGACTGTCCTTTTGAATTTTGTTCATTTGTTCCTGATTGTCCTTCT